CCAGCGCTTTACAGATTCGGAATACTTTTATTCCCACGACTAAAAACCTATTCCTCCGTTCGGACTGGAAAATTCACCGGCAAAATTGAAAAGAAAAACACTGGAGGGAAGGTTTACATTGTGGCTTGTCGGGAGGGGTTGGATGGCCCACTCCATAGCGCAGTGTTGGGAAGGGAGCCCGTGGGGGACGTGCTCGGGACGATGTCGCAGGGGGTGATGATGACGTGTGGGGATGGAGGGGTTTAGGAAGCGAACTAGGACTGGTCCAGGATTGGTCCGTACGTGAGGGGATGTTTACGGCTTACGGCCCCAGACCGCACCCTCATGGAACTGGTTCCGCAAGCAGCTGCCCCTCGTGCGGTACCTGCGCCCCCAATTACTTGGTGATGCCGCAGGACAACCTGGCATTAAACGAGGGCGTCGCGTCGTACATCGAGTACGATTGTATTGCCGCCGTACTGCCGTCCGTTTTGCCTTTGAGCTCCTATGGCCTTTCCCTGGCCGAGCCGCTCCGCCGCCTGGTGGTGCCGCCGCTGGGTATGGCTGCCGGCGTGCACGAGGGGGTGCTGTGGCGGTCTCGTTGGGCGGATGAGGACCCGCTGGTGGGGGCGCCCCTGGACGCGAACGCCTCGTCCGTACTCGTGTACTCCAAGGCCGCAGCCATCCTGGATGCCGCCGCCGGCCTGGCGGGCCAGGAAGGACTTCGAAGAGCGCTCCAGGGGCTGCTGGCGTCGAACATGTACGGCACCGCAACGGTTTCGGATTTAGTGGACCGCATCGCCGCGGAAGCGGCTGGCCAGTGGAACGGCACCTTGCTGGGGGACCAGGAAGCAGTGGCGGCGGGGGTGATGGGCTGGTTTACGAAACCTGGCGTGGCGTTGGTTGTGGCAGCCGACGCGACGCCGGCGCCACCACCGCCGCCGCCGTCGCCGGCACCGCCGCCACCGGCACCGCCAGCCCCACTGCCGCCGCCGTTGCCGGAGCCTCTGCCGCCATCGCCTGCACCGCCGGTACCGCCGCCGGCGCCGTTGCTGGAACCAGTGCAAGTACTATCCCCGCCGTCGCCTGTGCTGCCGGGACTGCTGCCGCCGTCGCCTCTGCTGCCGCCGTCGCCTGTGCCTCCCGCGCCGGTGGCACCCGCCGCGTCTTTGAGCCCCCCGCCCGGTGCGTCGTTACCTCGCTAGCCCAGTCTGTGTCAGTCCGTGGTGGCCGTACGTGGCAGTAGTAGGAACCGAATCGGGGTCCCCCCGAGGGGCTTCTGAACCCTAAACCCCCCCGAACCAGCAATCCGGCTCGTGTCTGCGGGTCGGGGCCGGGTTGTTGCCAGGTATCTTTGTCTGTCCCGCACGCAACCCTGCCCTCAGCTACTGCCGCCCCACCCCGTCTTGCCTCGCGCTCCCTGTCTCTGGCGGCCTATCGGGGGGATATTGAGTGAGATGTGCAACGTCATGGCGCCATGTCCCCCTCTTAGTTATCATGCCTGCATCAGTTACCTCCCTTCCCTCACTCACCGCGCAAACGCACTGCAGGGCCCCCGGTCAACGTGCCTTCGTCGCCCATGCCATCATCTCCAAGCCCCGTGCTGTCGCCCCCGCCGCCGCCGCCGCCCACGCTACCTCCCCCTCCGTTACCACCGCCGCCGCCGCCCTCGCTACCTCCCCCTTCGTTACCGCCGCCGCCGCCGCCACCGGGCACACCAGCTCCCGCCACACCCCTGACTCAGCTCAGTTCTCCCCCCCCTCCCCCTCACCCGCCTAATGGCGATACCTCCGGGGGCGGCGGTACCAGCAACCACCGGCGTCTCGCAGCGGAGGTCCGATTTGGCAGCCGCCAGGTCCTGCAAGTGCTCGACTTGCCGCCGCCGCCGCCGCCGCCGCCGCCAGTTGACACTGCATTGTCCAGCCCGCCGCCGCCGCCGCCGCCGCCGCTGGTCGATGCCGCGGTGTTCAGCCCGCCACCGCCGTCATCCCCTTCACCGTCATCCCCTTCACTGTCACCCCCCTCACCGTCACCCCCTTCACCGTCACCCCCTTCACCGTCTCCACCGCCGCCGCCCCCAGCGACTCAGACGAGCGTCCTTCAGCTCTCCCAGCAGCGGCTGTGCAGCTGGGGTCTGTGGCCCGAGGAGAGCGTGTGTCCGTCGGGTCGGTACCTGGTAGCGGGAAGGGGGGGGGAGGGTCGCAGCTGGGATTTCCCTGGCTCCCTGTGCCCTCTGACCGCCCTTAGGGTTTTAGGGTTTTTGGCAGCCATCTTCCTCCCCCGGCAGGGCGCTTCTGTCTAAAAGGGCCTCCCAATCTGTCCCTTGAATGCGCATGAGTGCAGTCCGTACGCCCTCTCCGGACTGCGCTCTGGTAACATTCCGCTCTGTCGCCCTTGCCCCTGCACCTCCCGCACCCTTATTCCAACCCAAACCATAACCGCAACCCTCCCACCCCCACCTTTCCAATCCCTTTCCACCCTCTTCTTGCTCGGATCACTCCCATGTCCAGCCAATTGTACGGCATTTTACCGTCCCCGTCACGCACCTCCCCACCCAAACACCGTGTCCCCTCATATCCGTACAGGTGCTGACGCCGCTAACTACACACCCGTACTCAGATGCCCAGGGAACCCCTCAGGCCCCGGCTCCGGAACCACCGGTATCCCCGCCAACCTCACCACCACCACCGCGACCTGGTGGCTGCCGCTGCTGGCTGTGTCGGCTGACGGCTCCTCCCCCCCCACCGGCCCCTCGGGGGGCCCCGCGGTGCCGCCACTGCTGCTGGTGATGAACGACACGGGCTCGGGGGCCCCAACTGATGCGAGTGCGGGGCGGGAGGGGGCAGTGATGGAGGGAACGATGCAGGCCGCGGGTCGGTGTGTATGTGTGCCTTAGGGTTGGCCCGTAGACTCCCCCCTGGCCGGACGCACTGGTCCCGGGTGTCTAGGCCCCTCGAGGGCCCCGCACTCGCGACCCCCTCCCCGCGAGCCCGAGCTGGCCGTGACCTTCCTCTTACTTCACCCCGCTCCCCCGCAGTTCCCGCTGCCGTACGGGCTGCCCTCGGACAAGTGGATGCTGCGAGGTCCGGGTTTCACGGGGATGTACGTTACTGCGTACGGCAGTCCTGTCGGGGTGAACGGAACGGGTACGTGCTGCGAGTGCACTGTGTTTTTGTGTACGGCATGTCCTCTATAAACACCTCCGGATGGCGCCTGCTTGTGGGGGCAATGTGTGTGATGGTGGGTAGCAGCACCCGTAGCTTTCCGTTGCGGCTGCTTCTGCATTACTTCGATATGTGTCCTATCCCGATAACACTAAAACCCATTCCTACCCCTTCCGCGCCCTTTCCCAGCCATCTGCTATTATTTCCATTCGCCGCCAGTTTCCCCCCCCTCCCAATCCATCTTCCCGCGCCTTTCTTTCCTGACTCGGCCCTTCTCTCAAAACGTTTCTCATCCTCCCATTTCAATACCCAGCCCACCTGGCCAGCCTCCTATCCGCCATCAAGTCGCCCTCCTCGGCCACTACGGGTTTCGGAGCAACCGCAGCGGGGCCAACTACCTCCGCGAACTCTAACTCCTCCGCGGGCCTCCTGGCCTCAGTCCTGGACGCCCAGATGGTGTTACGAGATACCCTGGCACTGGCCTTCTCACTGCCCGCCACCACATCCACCACCAACCCCACTGCTGCGGGGGCCCCGCTGGGTGACCCCTCCGCACTGCTGCTACTGCCGTCGGGATCAGTTCCCGGTGTGGCGGCGGCGGGTAACACGGCCCCGCTGCCCGCCGTGTTGGCGGCCATTGACACGGCCCTCACCAGCCCCCTGGCGAGGACGGGTGAGTCAGGGGCCCTGGGCGGGAATGTGTGTCTGGGGGGGGGGGGTAGGACGGGGCGGGGTTGCAACTCCTTCTGGAGGGAGGCTCCTTCACGAACCTGGACGGACAAAGGAGGTCGGTGGGATTGCAATTATATGGCTACTGCGGCTACTGGTGTACGGCATCTCTTAGGGGCCCGTTATGCTATGCACGGCGGTATACGGTGGTGGTGGAAATGTAGGAGAATTAAGCTTCGCAGGGGCCTCTTGGAGGTGCGTTTTGGCAGTCCCTCGTCTTCCCGCCCTGATCTGGCCTCCCCTCGTCACCTGCTTCCCCTCCTCCCGTCGTGGTGCATCTCCATGTCCCCTCCCCGCACCCCTTGCGTTTCTTTGCATATTGTTGTCGATCACCCCTCGCCCCCTTCCCCACACGTTGAGCCGCCGTCCAGGTGCGGGTATGTACTCCCTGGGGCAGCCCGCGCTGATGGCGCTGGACTACTTGCAGGTGCGTGTGCGTTCGTGAATCTGTATGTATGTGTGTGAGCAGGTGAGGACTAGGTGGTAGGTGGGCTCCAGTGCCAACCCTTCCTGCATCTAGCTGACCTGAGCGCCATGCGTGGATACGATGCTGCTACTGCTGTTGCTGTTGCTGTTGTGTTGCAGGGCCTGTTCGCCTCAAGCTCCAACTCCAGCGCCAGCTGCAATGCCGACCTCCAGCGCTGGGTGGTCCGCAGGGTGGGGCCCCTCGCCAGGGCCGCAACCAACAACACTGCGAAGCCAGGTGGGGTTCAGGCCGGGGAGTTTAGGGGGGGGAGGTGTGGGGTGTATGCCGTTCACCATTAAACCACTTCCGCCCTGTGCTTTCAGCTCTGCCTCGCCTGCTCATCACGGTATCACCCCTGCCATCCCATCGCTCCATCACGTGGCCCCCTTTCTCTTCATCTCGCCCTTGCCCTCAGACAACTTGGTCGACCAGTTCCTGTTGCGACTGGCCCAGTCCCAGATTGTGACGGAGGCAGCCCTCTGGGGGGACAGCGGGGCGAGGGACTTCGCATGCTCCCTAGCCGCACAGATATATGCAGCCACCCCCTCCTCTGCTGCTGAGGGGGGTACGGGGGCGGTGGACCCCGACTGGCTGCCGGCCGCCCTGGCGGTCCCTCTGGGGGTGAGCCCCACCGGGGGCTGCAATGTCAGTGCGAGTCCGGGAGGCCCCGCACCAGGTGTGGGGGGGTGGGGAGTCAATACACACACGGGGCTGGATGGGACTGCTAGGGGGGGTTGATTCATATGCAAGCAAATGACGTAAGGGGAGGGTAGGAGGGTTAAGGCAAGTGGAGCCTCCTTTGAGCCTTTCGGGATGCCTGGGAAGCTTAGGGACACGAGGCCACTGGCGGTCAGACCTGGCAGTTGATGGGGAGTTGGTGGTTGTTCTTTACTGGTGGCTGGGACGCTGGCTCAATATGAGTGCGGGGACGGAAAGTGGTGAAAGCGAGTTGGTGATGTGGTGGGGAAGTGAAGTACAGCCTGGGACTTCTTTTCCTCCGTCCCCTGCCATATGATTTTCCTGGGGGTTCCTCCCTCTCGTTAAGCGCTCCAACCCAGCCCATTTTATTAGGCAGCTTGACTGGCTTAAGATGATTTGCTGCAAGTGAACGTGGTCCTTGTTAGTTCTCTTACACGTTTGTTTCTTCCCACCGGGGCTGGGTGGGCCCCCAATCCTGTGTTCAGAGGCGGCCTTCAACGCCAGTCTGACCCAGCTGATGAGCCCCACTGCCGACCCGGAGGTGGTCGCGGCCCGCCTGTACGCGCTGTCGTACACTGGTGATGCCGTACTGCGCAGCAGCCTGCTGGACGTACTTCAGGCTGGGTTGAATCTGTCTGGTTCGGTTGGGACCGGCCGTGGGGGTGCTGGAGCTCGGGTGCTGAGCCGGTCTTTGGTTGAGGGAGTGATGGTGGGTTTAGTGGGGAGGAGGGGGGAGGGCAGGGAGGAGAGGGATGTGGCTTTAGGGGTCATTTGAACTGGAACGAAATGCCACATATCCCGGGCACCCCAACGTTTCTCTTTGGGCTCGGCGGCTGGGTACTCGTTCACAACCTAACTGGCCACGTCGCCCCAATGACTACTTCCTAAGTCGCTACTGCCTGGTAACTTCTTTCGCATCCCCGCAGTATCGGTCTAATACTGGAGTATCACTCTATCCCTGGTGTCAGCTTCACTTGTTTGCGGTTCGTCCCCCTCCAACGGTAGTAGCCAGCTGGTTCCGCTATCACTCCTTGCTTCACTGCCTGTTTTGGTGCCGTACGGCGTGTCGTTCGGTATGCAGGGCCGGTTGGTGGGCAGCGCCCAACGGGACGTGTTCTTCAAGGCAGCTGCTTCTGGTGGTGGTGGTGATTTGGGGGGAAGCGGCTCCGGAACCAACTCCACCATTCACCAGACCTCCCAACCACCATTCAACGAGCTGCTGTCGGCGGCGCTGACCGGCACTCCTGCGGCCGGCAGCGGTGGCCTCATGGGCCTTATCAGCACCCTCGCCGGAAACGAGTAAGATAGCACCTCCCCCTCTTACCGGCTCTCACCGACCCGGTAATGGCAACACCAGTGCTTTGGCGCTAGTCTTTCAACCGCCCAACTGACCTACCCGCCAGGTCCTTTTCCACATGACCTATTGTCGATGGTGTTGCGCTGTACGGCACTGTGGGTTATTGCTTTGTACTACTCGGGGGCTACCTTGCCCCTCGTGGGGAGTTCTCAGTCCGAGTCAAGTGGCCTGAGGGGCTCCACATAATATGAACACCCTCCCTTGCTGACCCCCCTCCTAGTCCCCCTCCCAGTCCCCCCATCAATTCGCACCCGGTTATTCCCTTCCGCTCCAAATCTCCTACAACCCCCCAGTGGTGGGCGTGCCCTCGGTGTGTTGGAGAGCACCGTGGCTCGCTTCCTCACAAGCCCGGAGCAGCTGAGCAACCTGAGCGACCTGCTGTGCGGCAGGGGACCCGCGAGCGCCTTCTACACGACCGGTGTGGCGGCAGGTGGGTGCGGCAGGAGGGGTGGGAGGGCAAGGTGGAGAGACCAGGATTCGGTGGTACTCACCTCCGCGGAGGCAGCAGGCCCCCTTCCCCTTCACCGTAATTTCCAGGGCCCGGCCCAATGTTCCCTTCCCGCGCCCCTACCCTGTCTCCATACCCGCCGGTCTCTGCCCGCGCCTCCGGGGCCCAGGGATGATATGGAGGTGGCGCCTGTTGTATTCCTGCCAAGATAATCTCGAAAAACCCTTTCTGTGTTCTGCTCCCCTACCTCCTGCCCCCTACTTCCTGGCCCGCTGTTATTTCCCCGCTGGCCTGCAGCGGACTTGGCGACTGCCCGGTCCCGAATACTGGGCCGCGCGCAGTCCCGACTGCAGTGGATCGCCAGGTGGAGGGAACCCATTTGCAACTTCCTGGCGGCTGAGACGGCGGCACAGACCGGGCCGTCCAGCGGCTAAGATAGTATGGCGGGGAAATCAGGGTGGTGTGACCCCAACCCCCCTTTTCCCAGCACCCCGTTCGTCTTTTCCCCCCCTTTTCCCAGCACCCCTTTCACGGTTGATCCATGTATGTATGCAGTTATGTCTCGAGCTGGCTGGGTAGGCTTCATTTTCCTTTGTTCGAGCCTCTCGCACGCCAATCAAGCCGACGAAAGCCGGAGTTGGTTGACTGGCCATACTGGGTGACCTTGGCGAGGAGAGAAGTGGATGGATGGCGGTTGGTGGTTGGAATGGGGTTTAGGTGGAAATGTAGGCAAGGGTAAGGGGAGGATGGTCAATGTGGCCACGTACACATCCCACATTCACGATATCACGAGGTGGGACTTGCTTTCCCAGTGATGACGTCATGTCCCCACAGGAGGCTGGTCGCCTGAGTCTGCCGAATGGGCGGTAAGAAGGGCGGACCTGTGGGCGCCGGGGCGCAGCTGGGCAGGCAGGAAGCGGGAAATGGAGCTGTGTGGGGTGGTCACGTTGTTATGGGCCGTCGTGGTTCCCTTCTAGAGAAGTGGTGTGAAGTGGCGGTGACGGTGAAGCAAGTGGCGTCGTTAACCCATAGCCTGAACGAAGTTCTCTTTCTTCTTCGCAGTTTCCGTACGTGTTGCGATCAGCAATCCCTGAACCTGATCGGTGTTGGGGGTTTGTGGGGAGATGGCTGGCCGGGTAGGCGGCCTGGTGGGAGGCCCTAAGTAGTGAGCTTAGAAAGCTAGGATGAGGAGCGGGCGGCATCACATCACACCACATCACATCACATCACATCACATCACATCACATCACATCACATTACGGGTGTTCTGGTGGCGAAGTATATGAGTTACGATTTTCTATGTGTGGATGTGTGGATGTGTGGTGGGTGGTGGGTGGGTGAGGTGGGTGAGGTGGGCTGTTAGCACTGCTGGTCCCGGATGTCCTGAACGGTCGCATTGGCGGTGCAGTACACACAGCCACAAGTATTAGATCACGGCCGTGTGTAACGGCGTTGAAGCAGCTTAAGAAGTACGACTTAGGGTTTGACCGCTAGTATTTTAGGGTATTACCGCTATTCGCACTGCTTGGCACTCACACAGCCAGGTTACACCATGTGTCATGCGCATGTTAATGCATGGAAGCCGGATGTAGGATGTTGTCATCATGTACACAGAGAGATACACAGGAGAGGGCGGATTCATTTCCTCTTTTTCAACAAATCATTTTCGTTGTCGATTTCTACCTCTCATGTTTCCCTTAGCTTCTTCTTTTTTCTTCTTTGTACTGGTCGCTTCCACTTTTGGTACGGCATCTGGAATTCGATGCGGGTGCTGCTGCAATGTCGCACCTACTGACTGTCTTTAACTTGGGTACCTATGGGAGGATGACAGGGGTAGATGCAGGAACATGTGGCCTGAGCACGGGATGGGTGCTGTTAACACAGACACGGATATGAAGAGAAAGAGCATTCCAGCCACATATATGTCATAGCATTATAGAAAATGCAGGGGGATTTATGAGATGGCATTTGCCGGGGGCTGGAAGAGGTGTTCATGTTTGTATGTATGCATGCATTTCTGGGTTGACCACATGGCTGCGTGCTGACCTGAGTGGTGAGAGCGCAGAGGGGCGGGATGTGTGGTGCATCCACGCAGCTATGGGCTGGTGGGTGACAGAGTGTGCCAGGATGCTGAGAGGGAGTGTGCATTTTTATCGACCTGCGGCTGTTGCCGGCTTGCTGCTTCGTGTGCCGCGTGATTTCTGATGGCCCAGCGCTGTGCATATACTGTTTGAGGTTGTGTGCTGTCTGTTTTTGCTGTGCGCGGTATGTGGGCGAGGGTGTTCCCGTTTGGTTGGCGAGCGGGTGCACAGGTCGGTATTTGAGTGGTTGCCTTAACCCTGGTTGGAAAGTAAGGGTCGGGGTGGGCAAGGTCAAGCTTGAGGGACAAAAACCGTTTTGGAAGCGGGGTGAAGTCCGTGACATCAATGAGACACTCCAGACCGGTTTTGTCTGAGTGTTGCCCTTGCCCTTCAGCAGCGAGCTGGCTTCAGTGTTGGCGAATATGTGTACTCAATAAGGTATCAGGATTGAATTGAAAACATTTCACAGCGAACGAAGAGATTTGAGGACGCGCAATGCAGGTCATATACCTACGTCGCCTTGGCATGTGATGAGTCCTCATAAGCATGGATAGTTAGAACACCAAGAAAATGAGTCTGCATGGGCCTGCCCATTTCTTACAACGGGTCGACACCCTTGGTCTACGTGAAAGTGTGTTTTGCTTTAGTGTTGTATCACGACTTCAGAAAAGTACCGATTGGTGGACGCAGGTCACGTGATATGCCCAGGAAATACTGCATTGATGTGTATCATGTTTGCGACCTTTTTACAGCAGCAGTGCAGCCGGCCATTGAAGTTTCATGTAGGGCTATGTGTAGTGAGTCTGGTTGAGACGCGCCAGAATACAGCGAAATGTAGCAGCGGAAAACAGACCACAATAGGTGATAAAGGTGCGAGGTGGGTGTGACCACGACACCAGTAGTAATAGCAGCGCTAGACTACTCATGCCTACCAGGCATCCACACCGAATTATATACGATCGGTAACTGGTGATCGTAGCCCTGCGGGACTTCTCTTAACCTTCCTTGATAGGATAGGTCGATGACTGACGACTGTCACACTTTACACCACCGACAACCTGTCAGTTAATCTCAGCCTCGAACGTTGGAACGTCCGTTCGATATCCAACTGGCATATGCTGGGATTCGTTAATTACATAACCATACTGGTTAGATTGACCAACCATAGGCCACAACATTTATCCCCTCCTTTTAGGAGTCGTGTCCTCACGACTACGGGACTTAATGAACTGCAATTCAGCAGCCATATCCGGTGTAAAGTGGTCAGCTGGTTCCCAACTGTTATGTTCCGACTCGAAACCTTTCCACTTAACCAGATATTCATCGACGTACTTACGTCCCACCTTCCGGCGGCGATAGTTCAATACTCGGTCTATCGGATAAGTAGTATCCTCAGAGAACTCCTCCGGTAATTGCTCAACAGGCAACGGTTGAAAAGTACCATCGGTACGGTAGGGCAAGCGATACATGAAATACATTATGTATCTTCAAGTTGCTTGGAAGCTTCAGCTTCACAGCGACATTTCCTACCATTTGTTCGACCTCGAACGGGCCACACCAACGAGGCGTGAGTTTACGAATGCCCTTACCTCGCAAACGCAAGTTTTTAGTACTTAATAAAACAAGTTGTCTTGGCTCAAACAAAACATCCCTTTTCTTGGCGTTGTAGTGTTGCTCAGTACGACTTTGAGCCTCCAATAAACATCGTTTAGCATCAGCTAGGCGTTGATCCAGTGTTTGCACAAATGCCTTAGCTGTTGGTACAGTAACATCTAACTCTCGTACAGTAGGTGTCGCAGGATGATAACCGTAATTTAGAAAGAAGGGTGTTTGACCAGTAGACCGGTTTACCGAATTGTTAACAGCAAATTCCGCCAAGGATAAAACTTTATCCCACGTGGATGGAGATCCATCACAGTAATTTCGCAACATGTCGGCCAGCACACGGTTCATGCGCTCTGTTTGACCATCGGTCTGTGGATGGAATGCTGTAGACAGATCTGAACGAAGATCGACCATACGAGCCATATGTTGCCAGAACATTCCAGAACATTCCAGCAAACTGCGATCCTCTACTAGAAAACAAAGTATCAGAGACTGTTGTTTTGGGTAATCCATGCAATCGAACAACGTTTGCAAGGAACAACTCTGCAGTTTTCTCGGCTGTGACATGCGTATTGGTTGGTACAAAATGAGCCATCTTGGTGAGACGATCCACCACAACAAAAATGGCGTCGTGTTGTCGTTGCGTACGCGGCAAACCAACCACAAAATCCATTGAGACACTGTCCCACGGCATGTCTGGTATTGGCAACGGTTGCAACAAACCATGTTGTCGTCCTGACAAGGTTTTATTACGTTGACATTTATCACAACAACGTACGAAAGACTCGATATCTGCTGTTATCCCAGGCCACCAATGGTGTCGTTGTACTAACTCAAGGGTGCGAGCGACTCCTGGGTGTCCACCCATGGGTCCTCCATGACAGCGAGCTATCAGTTCTTGTCGTAGTTGGGGCTCATATGGAACGACAATACTTCGACGTCCCGTAGGCATCGCCTTGAGCCAGTAGCCTTGTTCATTACGGAACAACGTAGCTACGTTTAGTGATTGACCGAACCAAGGATCCTTAGCATACCCAGCCAGGATACGTTCTCGAAGCGTACATGCTTTCGTCCTTCGGGTTATCGCATTCAGTGAGGGATGTCGACTGAGAGCATCAGCTACATTCAGTTTCCCAGCACGATGTTCCCACAATAAATGAAATCGACTGAGGAACTCAAGCCAGCGTGCTTGCCTTCGACTTAACGTGGGTTGCGTTTTGAGGTAAATTAACGGGTGATGATCCGTTACCACGCGTACGTCATGTGGTCCTTCGAGGTAGCATCGCCACTCTCTTAGGGCATGGATTACCCCAAGCAATTCCTGCTCTCCCGTTGTATAGTTCCGCTCGGCTGGCGTGAACTTTTTACTGGTGAACACAATAGGGGCTCCATCTTGGAGAAGTACAACACCTGTTCCCCTTAACGATGCGTCCGAAATTACCTCAAAAGAGAACGGTTTGGTCAAATCAGGGTACCGAAGCAAGACATCATCTGCTAAGGCTTTCTTTACTACCTCAAAGGCTTCACGTGCCGAGGGAGTCCACTCGGGCAATATGTTTGCTTTACCACAAAGCATATCGGTTAGGGGTGCCGACGACGCAGCATATGACCGAATATATTTACGAAAATAATTGGTCAACCCCAAGAACTGACGCAGCTCTGTAATCGAGTTAGGTAACGGCCAGTCATGCACAACGCGGACTTTCTTGGGATCAGGACGTACACCTGACGTACTGATAACATGTCCCAGGTACTCTAACTCTGTTTGTGCCCAGTGACATTTTGAGGCTTTGGCGTGGAGACGTTCCCGCCTGAGCACTTCGAGAACCTGTTCCAGGTGTCGTAAATGCTCTTCACGACTTCGTGAATGAATCAAGATATCATCCAGATACACCACCACAAAGCGACCAATAAACGGTTCCAGGATACGATTCATAACTGTTTGAAACGTAGCGGGAGCATTGGTCAGACCGAACGGTAACACTACATACTCATAGTGACCGAGGGGTGTCCGGAATGCCGTTTGCGGAACATCTTCGTTACGAATACGAATTTGGTTATATCCTTGTTGAAGGTCGATGAACGAGTACACTGTACTACCACCGAGACTATCGACTAGATCATCGATCCGTGGTAAAGGATACCGGTTCTTTACTGTTTGAGCGTTTAGCCCACGATAGTCTACAACCATTCGTAGGGTGCCGTCCTTTTTAGCAACGAAAAGGATTGGTGCAGCCCACGGCGAACTACTTGGCCGTATCATCCCTTTACACAACAAGTCTTCAACTTGTCGTCTAACTTCCTCCAATTCATTTGGAGTTAGTCGATATAGGGGCCGAGCAACGGGCTGAGCACCTTCGACCAGCGGGATGGTATGAGTCACCAATCTTTCAGGAGGTGGCTCAGTTATGTCCGCAAAGATATCCTGATATCGCTCCAACAAGGCGGCGATTTCTGGATCCGTCACTTTTACTTCAGCGGCTGAGGTAGTCGGTACGTCCGGCCCACCTGACCCACGGGTCGCAGCTGTGCGTACTACTGCGCCAGCAGTTAGCCGCGGACGGACTAATAACACGTGCGCTCCCTTTCGCACCATGTTTTTCGCTTGTGTGCGATTAATTGATAAGCATTCTGCCTTGGCTTGCATTGCCATGATAACGTGATGTTTTGGGCGCTGATCTTTGGAAGGATCCTCCTTTCCGTGCGAATAGGTACGACGAAACTCTTGCGTACCCTTCCGGAGTGTTACCACTCTGGTGTCAAAATCGATTCGCATTCGACTTTGCTCTAAGATATTCGCACCTAAGA